AAACATGTATTTATAGTTGTTTCCAAAAGTGGTTGAGTTGTAGAAGAAAACTAGAATTTTCGTCAAGTTTTGGCTTGAGGCGCGCACCTAGTGTAAACTAGGGCGCGCACCTTAAGTCTTTAGGCAGCCTCAGTCGGGGTTTTCTTGGTGTGAGGCGCGCGCCTTGCAGCGTGTTTGGGTCATAACTTTCTCTCTTGGTGTCTGATTGAGCTGATTCAAATTGCATTGGAAGGCTAACTTAAAGGGCTACAATTTTTCTTCAGAAACCATCTTCAAATTCGATTGTTTGTCATATAAAAAATTGGTCTCAATATGAGACTGAAAATCGGTACAAAACTTTTCAACTTGAAAGTTGACATGTGCTAATGTCTTGGCTATATTTCACCCCTTTGACTCATTTCTTCATCCAATTGACCTCTAAAACTCTTGAATCTTCATCACAGGGTTAGAAACAAGTTTAGATTATTTGCACATTGGTCCCTGAACTTTTGTTTTCCTCCATTTTTGTCATTTTTCACTTGTTTCTCCTTATTTCATGACATTCATCACTTTATCCTGCAAAACATGAATTATAAAGAATTAAGCTATATTTTAACATTTTAATCAATAATTGATCATATTTTGACAGTCAAATAAGCATGTAAAAACACGCTTATCAACCCACCGTACAATTTTCATCCTAATTAACCGACTTTATTCAGAGAGATTATTTTTAAAGTCAAGGAGTTTATAGTGACATTTTGACTTATTGGTCTTATGGTATATCTTATCATGGAGGATAATATCAAAGATCCATTACTTCTAATTACATTAAATTAAAAGTGGACAATATCATTATAAATATATATGGTATGAAACTATGTAAAAGCTTAAATTGTTAAAATATTTTTTCTTGTTCTAAAAGCATCTTTTTTTCTTGGAATAATTAGGTGGTTTGAAGTGCAAGTTAGCACCTATTTGAGGCACATTAAAATTTTCATTTTCATTCTTCTACTCATTTTCAACCACACATTCTTCAATAAAATAATATTTTTCATCACATCAATAACTTTTCCTTCTTTTCAACCACACATTCTCTATCAATCTACTATTCTAAA